TGTTGATTTAATTCTTTCGTCAGGGCAAGAGAACTTCTGTCTTATTCATGTGAGCCTGATACCAGTATTGGGTGTTGTTGGAGAGCAAGTAAGATTCCTCTACTTAATTATTGAGTGTTACTTTTCTTCATTAGTTCCTTATTCAAGCTTGTAAGTTTAGAATCAAAGTTGATTATATTTTAAGAAGAGTTTGATTAATCTTCTATGTTTCTTACTTTCTTTGCTTGTTTGTAATCCATGCAGAAAACAAAGCCTACACAACATAGTGTGCGGGAATTAAGAGCATTAGGCTTGACTCCTCATCTATTAGCATGTCGCTCTGCGGAGGTACCTCTGTTTACCTATCCATTAACCTTATAAGCTTTTCTTTAGTTCCCATTTAAGACTTGCTTGGACACCTACAATGGTGCAGTGAGATCACCCGACTCCCTTGTGTTTTACTCTACCATTATTTCGCTAAGGTTAAATTTTGTGCAGTTGTAATGTATTTATTTATTTTTGTGACTTCATTGCAGCCTTTGCTGGAAAATACTAAACAGAAACTTTCACAATTTTGTCATGTTGCAGTAAGTTGTTGCTGAATAATTCTATTTGGCCTTTTTCTAAATTTGTTTAATCAAACTTCATTTTCTTGATTACATATTGTAAATTTTATTTATGCTTTCTTACAGGCTGGTAATATTCTTAATATCCATGATGTACCAAACATATGGCACATTCCTCTCTTACTTAGGGTGGGTTCAATAACAATTATCTGTCTCCTTGGTGGTTTAATACTTTATTTATTTATTTTTTATCTAAACTATTGTTCTAAATTGTTGTTTAGAATCAAAATGCTCATCATTCAATTCTTCAACAACTAAATCTACTAAGGTATGTTTTCACCCATTACTTCACATGTAAGGCCATCTCCAATGGAGAAGGCTAAAGGTCCACAACAACAACAACAACAACAAAGCCTTTTCCCACTAAGTGGGGGGAGAAGGCTAAAGGTCCAAAAGTAAAAAAATGACCTGATTTGCACAAAAACTCATCTCCAACCAATGGCTAGGCTATAATTTTATGGAGCGCACCAGGCTATTATTTGGCCAAAGGCTGGCCAAATGTAGCCCCCTTTTAGCCATTTTTTAGAGCTCAGCTCCTTAGTTGCAATAACTGATTTAAATTCAATGACTAAATTTGAAAACATTTAATGGTAGTTTAACTAAATTAACCAATAAATTTAAAGTATAGACTTAAAACTAATAAATATTGAGGGGGCTATGTTTAGCCCCTTCGGTTGGAGATGATATATGAGTATGGCCTGACAATGTTCATTTAAAAATAATTTTTTGGGGGGCTATAATTCTGGACGGGGCCATGTTTAGCTCTTGCAATTGGAGATGGCCTAAGGCTTGAACTTTTGTGCTCAATTGTTGATCAGCATCAGCTTATGTAACTTCTTCTTGTGTAATGATGCCAAGGCAATCTCCTTCTAGAATACTGTTCGACTTGGAATTCTTTTGGCTGATATATGTGCTCTCTAGGAATGCTACATAAATATAGGAAGACGAACCGCATGAAGTTTGGTTATGTTAAGTTACCAGTGTTTAATGTTCTGTTTCAGCATTGCCATGCCTCCTGATTTAAGAGATTGGACCAAGATGGCAGAGACTTACGATAACCTCACCAATTCTGTTAGTATTATTAGATAATTGTGCGATGCTCGATTTTTGAACATTACATCTTTTGGTTTTTTCATTCACCAGATGAGAATTTTATATTTGCAGGTGAGGATTGCCATGGTGGGGAAGTATGTGGGCCTTACAGATTCGTACTTGTCCGTAGTAAAGGTGGGATGATAGCTTCTATTCTATTATTAAGCTGGGTGGTAGGACGGTGTATCTTTACTTAGTCTGAGGAATTCATTAGTGATTTTTCATATAAGAAAATTCAGTTATTACATTTTGTAGTGCAAATATGAGTCTATGGCTCCTTGTGCAATGCATGCTTGTTAAATTATATATGTTAATAAGTCACCGCCTATACGTTTATTTTACCATAAATGCTTGCTGAAGAATATGGAAATCTGGACCCGGAAATATAAAAATTTTGCTAAATTTGTCTCGCAGGCCCTTCTGCATGCTTGTGTTGCTTGTTCTTTAAAGCCATCAATTGACTGGATTGCTGCTTCTGACCTTGAAGATGATAGTGCCAAACTGGTATTGAACCATTACCCTCCTCTTTTTGCAGAATTTCGTTTAATGTCTATTATTTTGTCTTTTCTTAAGATTTGTTTTTCGTACAGATACCAGAAGCACATGCTGCTGCATGGGAGACCCTAAAGGTCTGCTTTAAGCTAAATTATCGTCTCCTAGCCTGTACAGCTTATGTTTTAATCTATTCTTTAATTGCAGAATGCAGCATGTGTCTTGGTCCCTGGTGGATTTGGAGATCGTGGTGTGAGAGGTATGATATTAGCTGCAAATTATGCCAGAGAGAACAATGTTCCTTATCTTGGGATTTGTTTGGGCATGCAGATTTCAGTGATTGAATTTGCGAGATCTGTAAGCAACATTTCCGTAACTGACATGTTTTATTCTTAATTTAGATCATATATCATCCCTACTTTAATTACTTGATTTAGGTTTTGGATTTAGAAAGGGCAGACAGCACAGAGTTTGATGCACAGACACCGAATCCTGTTGTAATTTTTATGCCTGAGGTACAATTTATGGTGATGTTTACCTCTGGAATTTAAAAATAAGTATGGCTTCAACCTCACCCCGTGACAGTTGATTTTTTTTATATCCATGTATAGGGATCAAGAACTCACATGGGAAGCACAATGAGACTGGGATCCAGAAGAACACTTTTCCAAGCTCCTGACTGCATTACTTCAAAGCTGTATGTGAAATATCTATTACTGTGTTCGGTTTTAGAAATCATAAAATAGCCGGTCTGTTACTGCAAACTGAAATTATAACTTCAGGTAACTTTGCTGCATTTATACCGTAAAACCAATGCATGTGCCATGTGTTCCAACTTCCAATGCTGGCAGTCTGAAAAGGACACACGGCACAAACTTGAACTTTCTTGGTCAATGTACTATTTTGCGGGCAGCCTTTGATGACCTCTCCTCTGTGTTGTGTCTGTGGTTGCAATGTTAGCATCCATATTTTACGTGCCTGATGTGTTATTGCTCTCAATTGCTAGGTACTATAACTCAGAGTATGTGGATGAACGCCACCGGCACAGATATGAGGTTTGTTGTAAATTTATTTAGGTGAAAGCATGATGGATCAGAAGCATGTTTTCCGTAGTGTATATGGTCTTATTTCATCATGATGTAGGTGAACCCAGATGTTATTGGAGTTCTTGAAGAAGCTGGCCTGAAATTTGTAGGGAAGGATGACAGTGGGAGACGAATGGAGGTGGGTTTTGTTGCAAAAAGTCCTTTCTATCATTTACTGCAAAAGCATTTGACTTTGAAGATTTATATTTTACATGTTTGTGTTTGTTCTGGTATTTTTCTCTTGTGCAGATTTTAGAGCTTCCATGTCATACATTCTATGTAGGAGTGCAGTTTCATCCAGAATTTAAATCACGGCCTGGGAGGCCCTCTCCTCTATTTTTAGGTACTTGGACACACAAGTGAAACATAGATGTCGCACTCGCATTTACCATTATTACTTGGAAACATGTATACACTAGGACAACCATCATGGAATTACCATGTAGCGCAGATCTTACTCAGAGTTGAGAGATTTTGGGACATGTTTGTGGCAGAATAGACTTGTCTATTTACAGTTGTCATTTTTATTTGGTCAATTTCTATCAAGTCCTTTGATCTCTGTACTCGAGTTGACACATGTGACATTGCAACTGTAGGTCTTATATTGGCAGCAACGGGACAGTTGGAAACATATCTTGATGAGAATCAAAATACACGTTCTCCAGATCATTAGTTCAAGGTGGGTTTGTACTTTGAATGCGAGAGGTCCCATAGAAGAAGAATTGGACTTGCGTTTGAGCTGTTTGTGCATTGTTCCCCCTGGCTCTTTCTGAATGTGGGTGAGAAAGGGGGATGGGAATGGGTTGGATCATCTCTCTTGACTCACGATATTCTGTGCTCCTTATGCATAAGTGGGGTTGCATAAATAGGTGCATCTTAAGTGATTGCATTTGAGAAGAGACAGATATGTTTCTGTCCATCGATACAAAATGGGACACAGAATTTCTCTTAGCTCGAGTTTGTGTAGCGAAATTGTTTAACAAGGGACATCGCCGCTACATGAGAAAACTAGACTAGACTAGACTAGACTAGAGTAGACTAGTACAGTCTGGAATCTGGGTACGATGACTGCAGCATGTGGTCGGGACAACTCAGAAGGTGTGATATTGTTGTAATAATGCCAATGCCAATGCCAGCCAGGGGCTGTTTGTCTACCAACTCTGTCTCTACTCTCTTGTTATATTGCTGGGTACGTTTATCAAATGCTTAGTGTGACGATGAAGAGAATCATGATCATTGATTATCAAATGAGCTTTCAAATTCCTAATCTTAAGATTTCTAGCCTCACTCATCAAAAAACAAAACTTAATAACAAAATAATTAACCAACTCTATATGAAGATGTTATTCTTTATTATGAATTTATAAATGGAGAACGTAGGAAACGCTCAAATGCATCAATATAATGGGAAGCCTAAACCTAAGCCTTCGGTATCAGCAAAAATATGACGCAATGCAATGCCTCTTCTTTTACAAAATAAATACAATGTAATTCGGTAGAGCGTAATGCAATGCCTCTTCTTTTACAAAATAAATACAATGTAATTCGGTAGAGTAGAGTAGTGGAGCAGAATTGAATCCAAAAACAAAACCGAAAAAAATGCCGCAATGCGATGGCAGTCCTGCGTTAATATTTTGGTTGTTTGTTTTGTCCCTGGATCTGGAATTGTGGAAAAGTGGAATTGTGGAATTGTGGAAGGGCAATGTGAATGACATTTGTGATTAACTTAACATGTGAGGTTCTGAGTGTAGTGTAGGTATGAAATCTGTCTTTGGAGCTTCATTTGCTGGTAAAACTTAGCTATGAACTCATCTGCCTTTATATCAACCGATTCCTCCAACTCCTCCTCTTCCTCCTCGTACAAATTATTATTATTAGAAGCTGATGCTGGAGAAAGAGAAACCTTTTTTTCCTCATCATCCTGAATAATATCACGGCCATCATCATCCTCATCGCATTTGATAAGAACGCTCTGCCTTGCAGTACTATCATCATCCTCATCATCATCATAGTAGCAGTTGCGGCGATCCTCTGATTGATCTTCATGGTTATTGATGATCATGTCGACTTGATCATCATCAAAATAATCAAGTACTAATGGTGGGTTTAAGCAAGGGATGTTGATGAAGCGCATGGAGGAGGAGCGGGAGCAGCTGGTTTTCGTTTTGAGGGTGGGGAAAATGGGGGTCTTGTCGAACGAAAGCTGCCTCTCAAAGTAATACTGCTGCTGCTGTTGCTGCTGCATAAGCATGTGGGCGAGGCTACTCTTGAGCAACTTGGGGACGACGCGCAGTTCCATCATGAGGTGTCGCCTGAAAACATCGCCTTTTCTTGCCCAAAGCAATGCCAGACGCAGCAGCTTCCACGCTCTATGTGTTGGTCTTGGTCGACCGATATCATCATCATTACCATTTGATGATTTCTTCTTCGACATCTTCATCATTGTCATCGTCGTCATCAGCTCACTGTTGAGTACTTGATTAACGGGTGGAAGCAGAGAGTATAGTTCTACTTACGTACGTAGATTGAAACTGTGGCCTGGTAGTGGTACACCAGAAAGAAAGAAAGAAAAGACAAATTGTTCACAAAAAATTGGCTAATAAATTCCAGTTTGATGAGAGAGCTGAAAAATTTGTATGATGTGGTCAGTGTTGTTGTGCTGGAATATATACAATACATCATTATTAATCTATATATAAATAATGTATATATTAGAGGAATCTTTGTATTGTACGCGGTGGTTTTTAATGATTGGTCTAAGGAGATTAGTGTGGAAGGTAGGAACCCGATTGTTGGGACACGGTTGTTACACGCTGGAGGAAGCAAGCTCGAAACTCCCCTTCCACTTCATTCATTGGTTCCCAATTTTCAAATACAATATTACTTCGTTTTCTTTCATGATGGCGTTGTATTACAAACTTGATAATTTGAATTGTTTATTCTTTTTATTCCAACACGATTATTTTTAGATAAATATGAGATGTTTAGCCATTTATATGTGTCTAACAAATAACGAATATGATAATAAGTAATATTCTTACAATTAACCGTCAATTTGTTACATTCATATGAATGACTAATTAAATGGTCTCCAAATTAAATTAAATTAAATTTTCTAGAGATAATCTTTAGATGACGACAAAAAGAATAAACAATTTAGATTTTGACATCTATAAGGTGAAATGATATAATATCGTCATGTAAAAAGAAAGTAAGGATGATTGATTTTTGAAATGTAAGAAGTCAAACTTTGTCTAATACACCCCCTCATTCCTTTCCCCACCTTTTTTTTCCTTAGTATACTATTATTATGTTATTCTTAATTTTTACGCCACCAAACAAGGGATACTAGTCCTATCTAAGTTAGTCTCATTTAAAAAGTGTAACAAACAGAACCTGAAAGTGACAATGACTAAGGAGGATTTACATCAAAAACTTGAATAACCAAGTATTATTTATTAGATTAAATTATTAATCTAACAAATGCATCTTTATGTTATTTCTTATTACATTATTCAAAAGGCCATAAGTTGAATCTCTATACCATATACATAAACTTGTAAGAAATTATGCAACCGAATTGGCCCTTAATGCGCTATAACTTGCAAGTCAACAATATTAATTAACTAATGCTTATGATAGGCAAGAAACTACTACTTTTCAACAAAACTAATAAGTTGGATATGAGGGACTACATATATATATCATTTTTTTCTAGCTGTTGGCATATACAACTCACATATAAATGATGGTTTTCGACGAAATATACATGTAATTGATGATAGAAAGCTACTCCCGGTGTAGTAATTTGAATAGGTCATTGCTAATTATTTGAGCAACATATATGTTATATATATAATAATAAAGTTAAAAACTATCACAATCAACGCAGTTTTTTATTAGTTGGATTTTGCTGGAACTTTCCTGACATGACCACCGTTTCCTTGTTTGTTTCCTTCCTTCGGTGCATATGCACCGAAACTATATATGTTATTCCCCCAGGAATCAACACTACGAAATAAAATAGGAGTTTTAACGAAAAGTCTACGGTACTATTCACTTTAATGAAAAATCATATTTTTACACTAAAAAGTCAAACCTGATACTATTTATTTTGTCCTTATCATTAAAACTCAAAGTTTTCAAACAATTTTCATTAGTTTTCCTATATAAAATCCCTTGTTAACCGAATTTCTTGTTACAAATAACTCAAGTACACGAGTGCAAAATAAATTTTGTATTAAGGAATCAAGACTTGATCTAAGACTTGGTTTGTAATTTGACTTCATCAAATAATCTTTAATTTAATCAAATAAAATCAATAACAATTCATCATTAATTTGGCATTTTAAATCAATTACTTTGATTTAAATTCAAATTAATTAAAGAATAATAAAGATAATTCCTTAATTACTTTCCGCCAACTGTCGAGCGTGTCACCCTTGATAACTCGTCTTGTTTTGTTGAGTCACATGTCATATGTACGATTGGTGAGACACATGAGGCATGCCTCGTAAGCCTTGGTGTAACAACTCGTCTCAAATTTTACGATTTTAATAATTTTGAAAGAGTGAATTGAGGAAAATGCCCCTAGTGGCGAGATCGTTGACTTTCATTGACCATCTTTTGGTGATGTGTACGAGCTACTATTTTACCAGTATTCTCGAAGTACTCAACGGTACGAACGAGTGGGCACAAGCGGATTTGAATTTGGACCTACGATGGAGATTTTATGGACTTACGAAGTTGAACGGCATTTTAGTAACTTCAGTATACTAGATATTTTCTTATTATTTTATTATTTTTGTTTTGGTGGGACCCACACTCAAACCCCCCTCTCATCTCTTGCCACGTGGCATCATTCTCCACCACTTGGACTCTCTCTCTCCCTCATCTCTTCTCCTTCTCGTCTTTCTTTTTCCATTAGCCCTTACATAGTCTTAGATGAATGCCGAGACCAAGCCCAACAACCACCACCTCGCCACTCTTCCTCCAGCAAACCATCCAGACCACCATCACTTCCCCTAAAGTGCTTAAGACACTAGGTTGATGGTTCGAAATGCACAGTGGTCGCTACCACAATTCTTGATTTTTCCTGGCGATTCCTCAATTTTTTCAATGAAGATCGACTAGGAGGAAAAGTTCCCCAGATTCCGGTGGATATTCGGCGGCTTCAAGTCATTTTTCGGCCAACTCCGACCACGGCCAGTCCTCGAATTGGTGCAATTACTATCGAAGACTCCAGTTTTCTTAGCTCGAAAGGATGTGACATTGCAAGTACTTGCAAGCACATGTATGCATATTATTATCAATTCCTTAATTATATTTATGGTTGTGAATAGTATTATGGTCACGCGAATTATCGATTTACCACTGTATGAATTTATCTATATTATCTACTCATCGTGTGCTACACTGGTGTTAGTACTCACCTGAGCCAGGGCCAGTCTTTCATGTGTATGTTCACATCGCATCGTACGTTCATTTTGGATCTATTGTAGGTGCCTATCCTAGATTGCTATTGGCAATTAGGACTTGTATGTGATGCGTATAGCGCCAGTCTTCACGTGATTGTAGTACTAGAGCGTAAATCATTATTACACCTAGTCCTATTCATGTTAGAATATCTCTGCATGAACTCGTGTGTCAGCATATGTCGATGAGCACTCGATATGATATGTTGTTTATGTGGGATTATGTGATGACCAGATGTTAGATGTTTATATATGATTTATTATGACGTATTGGATTCTTAGGATTGTGTAGGCTACGGTAAGTATTTTCATACTACATGTAATATGTATATTTTAGAACTGTACTTGTTTTACGGCGAGAGGTTATCATGTTTCCGAAACAGTTTTTACAAAGCTTTATTTTTAGATCCACTCACCCTTGTTTTTGGCCCCTCTAGGTTTTAGTGGCAGAACTTCTATGTCGACAAGGATTCTTGGCAAATCTTGGTATTGGAGGTTATTTTCGATGATATAATTCTTATTCTACCCTACTGTAATTTACTTATGCTCTAATATCATGTGCGGAATGGGTTCATTCCCCCTCACTAGTGTACTCTTACATTTAGGCACTTTTAGGTTTAAATTTATTCACATTTTCCCCTCATGGTGTTGGCCATCACACTCGATTCGGAGTCCAGGTGGACATTCTAGGTCGGGGTATGTCACTTGGCACATCGAAATTTTAATGTGTTGATGAATATTTATTTAACTGAAATTTACATGTCTACAAATGCTCCCGCTTCAAGGCATAGCGTGTACATGTGCTTGTCACGTGTAGAATGTGTGTTTTGAAGTCCTTCTACGTAAATGTCTATTTAAGGGCTGTTGATGCTTGATCTTGAACGAAACGGGACCACGAGGAGTTTCTTGTGGTGAGTGGTCATCAACTTTGTTAGGGATGAATCAACACGTATTTGTTGTGCTTATTGGTTCTCCATGAGCTTGATGAAGAGCACGAGTGTTTGGTATTTGCCTAGTGTCTCTTGACTTTATGTCTTGAAACATAGCTTAAGAACTTGTGGTTTAATGCCTCTCTCAAAGTTAACTAGCAAGTGATTTCGTGCTTACTTAGGGCACTACCATTAATGCGAAATGAATGGAGAGCCGTAGGAGGGTCAATTGAGATGGAGTTATGATTTGATTTAAAGCCTCCCTTCTTCTTATGGACTTATGATTTGAAGCCTTCCCTTTTCTTTTGGCTGAGATGCACACCTCCTTTACACCTTTGGCACCAAAAGGCTTTAGTAGACTTAGCTCTTCCCTCGGGAATGTGATGATTTATAGAGTGTGCTACCTCTTTTGGATATATGTTAAATGGTGTAGCTGTTTGATTTGATAGATCTACTTCACTTGGTGTTACGGGATCATGGCGGTAATTAGGTAATGCGATTAGACCAAGGGTATCGTACTCCTTGTTCCCATCTATGATTTGAGATTTTTGTTCTCAAATGATCTCCGTGTAACACGAGGTTTAACCTTGTGGTTCCCGATAAGCTCGGACCAGGGCTTGAAGTCTAATTGCTTTGCATTAATGATGCTTTATTGTAATATTTTTATACCTAATTTGTAAGGATTCTTTTGGGACAAAGTTCTTCATAATATGTATTTGTAATGCTTTTTTTTCTTTTTTCTTTTCAATTAATCAAATATCGTACTCTTCTTCTTGAAAAAAAAAAAAACACTTCTCATATATCTACTAATTAATAAAACACTTATTGTAAACCAAAACCCTATGAAATTACCAGTTTAACCCTCTAATTAAAACAGAACATGAATAAGAAATATGGGGCATAAATGTAATTTCATACAACCAAATTTTGCTTTTTTTTTTCCAAAACCTCACCTACATGTAATCCTAACATCTCTAATTAAAAAAAAAAAACTTCACACTCCTACATTCTCTATCACTCTCTTCCTTTCTCCTTATTTCAAAAAAAAAAATAAAATTTTTTCTCACACTTTGTGTGTGTCCATATGCTAGTAATTAATTAAAAATTTGAAAATTAAACAAAACATAAAAAAAAAAAAAAAAAAACCAACAACCCAAGCCCCACTACAATTTACCCTAATTTCCCCGCCATGCAAGTCGGTCGCAATTGCTCACCACCGTCTAAGTATTTTCTCTCTTTTTGTCTAAATCTTCCTTCTCATTCGTATCCAATTTCTCTTTGCCTCGTTTCAAATGTTGGCATTTATCGTCGCCGCATCGTTTCTGATCTCAACCTTTGTCGTTGTCATCGTGTTGTTTCAGATTTCAACTATATCGATCAATTAGAAATCCTCCTTGCATCCCAGATTCCAAGCTTGACAGAACATTGCTTTTGACGTGCTGAATCAATAAAGATTTAGTGCCAGTTTAAAGAAGAAGAGGGTGGGGGAGAGAGAGAAAGGAAGCTTCGTCGGCCATAAGAGTGATGGCGGCGATAAGGCGGTGTGGTGTGGTGGTCAGGAATTTAATGTCATTGTTGGTTTTTGTTAATGTATTACAAGGTGAGGACGTAGGCGAGGTGTTTCATGGATAGCTCCACCTCCTAAAATTATAATTATATATATATATATATATATAATACAATACTTGTAAAACAAATTAATCAACTTCAACAATCAAACAAGTCGCCAAACTACCAGGGAGTCAGGGACCAATTAAAATTAGAATACTAAAAAACTTGGTGGAGTGGAAAATTTTGAAACAAATTGTGGTATGAGATTGGAGTAAAATTGAAATATAGGATTGGGATTGAGAATTTAAAGTGAGGGATTGGATGAAATACAGAGAATCGTGCACTGGGTATTGGGTGGGGGAGGAGGAGGAGACCTCCTGTGATTGGATTGCTTGTTGTAGATATAGGGGGGTGTGATATCCACACACCCCTTTTTACTTCTCCCACACCTTTTCGACCGTCGGATCAGATGAATTGAAGAAGATCAAAGGACAAAAATTAACAAGAGATGTGTAAGAAGTAAAAAAAGATATGTGGATAACACACCCCTAGATATATACGGACCAAATGTTCCTATATTAAAAAAAAAAAAAAAAAAAAAAAACTTGGCCAAAACGACATCGTTTTGGGCCAAGTCATTAAAAACATTAGGGTAAAAGACTGTTTACTACCCTCATGTTTTGTGGTTTTCAACATTTAGTACATCAAGTTTTTTTCGTCTCAGAGTCATACCTAAAGTGTAAATTTTAGGACAGTCTCATACATCCGTTAGTCAAACTGTTAAGTTTTTCGTTAACTATGACGTGGCGCACTGACTGGGCGCCACGTGTCATCGACGTTTTTTTTTTTCTTTTCTTCTTTCTTCTTCTTCTTCTTCTTCCTCCGACTGCAACTTTTTTTTTTTTTTTTTTTTCTTCCTCCTTCTCCTTCCTCCTTCCTTCCTCCTTCCTCCTTCCTTCCCTTTCTTCCCCTTCTTCCTTCTTCTTCCTTCTCATTCTCCTTCTTCTTCCCGAATCTGGGGAAGCTTTTTTTTTTTTTTTTGTTTTTTTTTCTTCTTCTTCTTCCTTCGAATCTACCCAGATTCAGTTTTTTCATTTTTTCTTCTTTTTTCTTCTTCTTCTTCCTCTGAATCTGCCCAGATTCAGTTTTTTTTTTCTTCCTCCTTCTCCTTCTTCCTTCCTCATTCTTCCTTCCCCTTCTTCTCCTTCTTCCTTCCCCTTCTTCGTTCTTCTTCTTCTTCCTCCGAATTTGGGGGAAGATGAAAGTTTTTTTTTTTTTTTTTTTTTTTTTTTGAGGAAGAGGAAGAAGGAGAAGGAAGAAGGAGAAGAAGGAAGAAGGAGAAGGAGGAAGAAAAAATTGCAGTCGGAGGGAAGAAGAAGAAGAAGAAGAAGGAAGGAGGAAGAAGAAGAAAAAAAGAAAAAAAAAAAAAACAAACTTCCCAGATTTCGGAGGAAGAAGAAGAAGAAGAAGAAGAAGAAGAAAGAAGAAGGAAGAAGGAAGAAGAAGAAGAAGAAGAAAAAAAAAAAAAACAAACTTCCCCAGATTTCGGAGGAAGAAGAAGGAGAATGAGAAGGAAGAAGGGGAAGGAAGGAGGAAGGAAGAAGGAGAAGGAAGAAGCAAAAAAAAAAGAAAAAAAAGAAAAAAAAGAAAGTTGCAGTCGGAAGAAGAAAAAGAAGGAGAAGGAAGAAGAAAAGAAAAGAAAAGAAAAAAAAAACGTGGATGACACGTGGCGCCCAGTCAGTGCGCCACGTCACAGTTAACGAAAAACGTAACAGTTTGACTAACGAATGTATGAGACTGTCCCAAAATTTACACTTTGGGTATGACTCTGAGACGAAAAAAACTTGATGTACTAAATGTTGAAAACCACGAAACATGAGGGTAGTAAACAATATTTTACCCAAAACATTAAAAGGCTTGGCCAAAACGGTATCGTTTAGGGCCAAGACTTTATAAAAAAATAAAAAAAACAATCGTTCTTCTTCTTCGGGCGATCGTCTTCTTTGTGAAGACACCGCTGCAACCCAGAAACAAAACTAGGTTTCCAGAAAACTTCAAATTTCAAGCAAGATTTGGGTTGCTGAAGGGTACTAGGAACGCCCAGTCAAACGCCTCAGGCGCACTCTGACGAAGTCTAGGTGAGTTTCTGCCCACTCCCAGAAAACAGAGGCAAAATTGTTGCCGTCCCGCCTCCAAGGCCGCTTAGGCACGCCCCGAGGCGAGTTTTTTATAACACTGGTTTTTGTAAACGGCATTACTCACCCATTGAGTTGGACCATCAAACTGGAGCGTTAGAAGGATCATCATGTACCTATGAAACCCAAAGGAAAATCTTAGCAACCCCAAAGTTTGTATGCAAGCGTGAATAAGTATGCATGTATGAATCTATTCATAATGAAGAAGACTACCTTAAGAAATATTTGCATCTGCAGCTTCATATGGCCATACAACTAAAAGCACCACTTACGATAACAAACTCCAGCTGCACCACAAAAGGAATATGATCTTTCTCTCAACTTGTATTTGTAGTTGTTACTGTAACATCTGCAGACAGCATACATAAGCACTGATTCGATAATTTTAAAGAAAAAAAGCTCTTATTCAATAATGCACCAAATCCTATCCAAAAACCAAAGGGGTGCCATATCCCTAGATTAACAGAGCATCTTTCTTTGTTCCAAAACAAACTGCAATTTGGCTTTGGTAAAGTAGAAAGATTACCAGATACCTCGGGCATAATCTCAACTCTGTTCCATTATTCAAGCATTTTACTGTCCTTTTAGTTATATATCTCAACATGGGAAATACAATAAGACAGTAAAAACAAAAGTTAGTGATAGCTATTACATAGTGAAAGAAAATAAGACATTCACATAGTGATAGCTATTTACTGTCATTTCTCACCATAATCTCGACTCTATTCCATTATTCAAGCATTCTACCGTCCCTTTAGTTTTACCATATGTGAATGTCTTCGCATACATACATACATACATACCAATGTTTTAAAGAACTCGCCTCGGGGCGCGCCTAGGGCGCCCTTGAGGGTGGGCGGTGAGGCAAACGCCTCAGTTTTGCTGGAGTAGGTGAAATGCTTCGCCGGAGATGCCGAGGTAGCGGAGGCGCGCCTCAAGGCATCCAGGCACCTTGTCAGACTTTTTTTTTTTTTTTTTTTTTTTTTTTTGAAAACCATCCAAACCTAAAACATACATACATACATACATACATACATATATATCAATGTTTAAAGAACTCGCCTCGGGGCGCGCCTAGGGCGCCCTTGAGGCTGGACGGTGAGGCAAACGCCTCAGTTTTGCTGGAGTAGGCGAAATGCTTCGCCGGAGACGCCGAGGCGGCGGAGGCGCGCCTCAAGGCATCCAGGCGCCTTGCCAGACCTTTTTTTTTTTTTTTTTTTTTTTTTTGAAAACCATCCAAACCCAAAACGACGCCGTTTGGGTAAGGATTTTCAGTCTTCATACCATACCTTCGAATTCGAACGCCTTTGTCTACCTCTGCCTTCTGCCTTCTCCCGCGCGCCAGAAGCCCAGAAGCCCAGAACACCTGTTTGGTCGCCACGCCGCCGCTTGGAGCAACATCGTCGCCACACCGCCATCACCTCAGCGCCGTCACACCAGCCCCAGCGTCGTCAGCAAGATCCCAAGGGTTAGGGTTTTTGAAATTCTGAAATTAGGGATTTAGTTTTCTGGGGAAGGTTTTGCTATAATAGAGGGGTTAATAGTTAGACAGAAAAGTTATTAATCTACCTCTATGTGCTGCCTCTGCGCGCTGCCTTGTTTAGGCTATAAATTTATTGATCTGCCTCTGCATTTTCTGGGGAAGGTTAGGCTATAAATTTAGTGGAAGGTGCTAGTAGGTTGGAAATTGTTAGGCCTAAGTAGTCGGGACTACAGGGGTATATAAATTAATTAATAAATTGTTGGAAATTGTTGGTATATAAATTAATTAATAAATTGTTGGTTCATTAACTGTATGCATGCATCGAATGTTCATTGTTTTCTTTGTTTGTATTACCTTTTGAATGATGAATTTGGATGATATTACCTTTGAATGATGAATTTAGATGATATTATCTTTTGAATGACTATGGATTTGAATGAAAAATTGAGAATGGATGTTTATTTTACATAGTATTATTTTTATACAATTATATGTATAATATATAAAACATGTATATGTATATAAAATTAAATCCCGTGAGGCTTCGCCTCACGCCTAGGCCGGGCTTCGTCTCGGACACCTCACCCACGCCTCACGCTTTTAATACATTGATATATACACACACACTGAATTCTGAAAGCAATGAGAGAAATATACCTTTGGGGCGTTGATGCCAGAAGGTTGAATGAGGGATCTAAGATGTTTGAGAGCAGGAATGTTTGAGCAATTTGTGTGAAAAAGTTGAAGAGCTTCGAGCATGATGCAGTGAGTCGGCCTGGGCTAAAATAAAGAGGATGAACTCTAGAAAGTAGAAAATGTTGTTGTTCAACCAATCTCAAAAGTAAAGAAACCATACTATTAACATATAAATAAGTTTTATATATCAATGTTTACATGTAAGTTATTTGAGAAGGTATATTAGCAACATATACAATGATCAAAAGATTAACAGCAATAAACTGCTCATTATTCGAAATATACATGAAAGTAGTCATTCACATGATCTAAATGGTAATTAATATAGATGACAAAACAGAAGGAAACAAATATTATAGCGGCATAAGTTGAATAATTGCAGCAAGCAAACAAATAGAAGACTTAAGAACTGGAAATGAAAACAGGTAACATTGAGTTTTAATAACTGAAAAGGGACCTTGTTTAAGTAGCTCCACATCAGCATTTATACTTGGACGATGAGCTGCAAAAACAGAAAAGAAAACACAAATTAAACTAAAAAAATATAGAATTTAACACTAATCCAAGGATTAAATATCAAATATAAAGTCATTAGGATTGGGGCCTATGCATTGAGGAATATCTACTACATTATGAGTTCCTAATGATAAAGCCCAATCAGGGGGTTTTCCGGTGAGCCAAGAACGGCTAACTTTGCACAACACTGCCATCCCCACTAACACCAAACCCAGATAATATCAAACCTTAGATGTTCACCAAACAGAGTTTAGAGTATCAGTCCAATTTATGGGAAATAATCAAGTTCAGACGGAATAATTAAAAGGATTCCTAAGACATATCAGCCGGGATTTGGATTTAATTAACACCTAAACGGATTTCTGAGACAAATCAGTTAGGAATTAGTTTTAATCTAGTCATTTATGTCCAGACAATCTTCCCAGCACACAGGAAGGCCAGCCCTACATTGGCTGAGTGCATCAGTTTGCACATGATGACCTTCTAAATTCAAAGAATTCTTTCTGCATATATATGGTTGGTGAGATTAATTTTAATAATCTTTTCATCTAATACTATGTAGCTAATTGGTCGTGCAACCTGATTACTCGTACGCATATAAAAAATTAACACTGAAAATAAATAAAAAACACAAAAAATTTTGAAATTTTTGTACGTCAAATTTCTAGGAGGGGAGGAGGAAAAAACCACGAAAAACAATATGTGCGTGCTCAGATCAAATCAGCCAGAACTTGATCTAATTGCAGCGACGTGAGTGAAATCCGACTTCCAGTTGCTGCACCTCCTAGCTTCCTTTTGCTGCAACTTAAATTTGGTAGAACAAAAGTCTCAATCCTTAACAGATCGGAAAAACCCAGTAATCACACATATTTAACAGATCAAACTCAAAAATTAAAGAACGAAAAGAAAAAGTGAGGAATTTACTCGAACCCACAAAATTAAAATTAATTACAGCATAATCAGGCTAAAGATTCAAAATTCACAATGTAAAAACCCAAATTAAACATAAAATTCAAAATTCACGACGCAACAACCCGAATTAAACACAAAATCAAGGTCCTTTCAGAAACATAAGCTTAAGAAGGCAAAAATCTGAAACCTTTCGAAAGTGCAGAAATAGAGAGAAAAAAAATTGGGGGAAAAGTTGGGAAATTTACCAGAGGGGCTTAGGTGGAGGCGCCGAGAGGAGACCTAGATTCAGAATATAGGGAGAGAAATAGAGAACTTGATTAGAAGAGAAATGGTGAAGCCCTAAATCGAGCTGCTTGGTGCAGGAGAAGAGTGAGGCGAGGAGGAGACGGGGAGAGCAGGAGTCAAACAAAATAAGGAAAAGCTGATAAGAGCAGTTCCAGCGTGGAGCCCTCCCATACAATTCACTATTCAATCAATCAAGTGAACATTAACTGCCCTTAATGAACAGTAACTGTTTTTTGCATCTCCAATGTGGGAGACCTCCCCCTGGTAATAGTCAATAAAATATTAGTATTTTATTTATTTATAAAATAATACAAAATAATTTTATTTGTAATTTCGGATAAGATTTTTAATCATTTTCGTTGCGTCATGTGTCATAATCCGAAAAGTTATAAAATAATACAAAATAATTTTATTTGTAATTTCGGATAAGATTTTTAATCGTTCTCGTTGCGCCACTTGTCATAATCCGAAAAAGACAATTATTGGTGATGGATTTCCGATAAGATTTTTAATCGTTCTCATTGCGCCACGTGTCATTATCCGAAAATACAATTATTGGTGGTGGATTTCCGATAAGATTATTAACCAATCACATCGCGCCACGTGTCATAATCTGTTTACAATCTTTGAGGATAGATTTCCATCAGATTTTTAACGAATGACGGCATGCCACGTGGCATTATCTACAACCTAATCCTTTTTAAATCCTCCATATAATCCACCATCCATCCTCACAAATCTCACACCAATTTTCTCAAGATCTCTATCATTATTCATAGTTTCTGCTTCCTTATTCACCTAAATCTCTATCATTATTCATAGTTTTTGCTTCTTTCTTACAATGTCTTCTTCTTTCTCAAGGATGATGTGGGAAATCGATCAGCAAGAGGAAGAATTGTTTAACCAATCAGAAGGAATGTTCAAACGCCAGGCGGCCCAAAATGAGAGGGAAGAGGATGAGGAGCATAGACGGAGAGACGATGAATCAAGAATGGCAAGAGCCTCACATTCCCGTCGAGTCATCCAAGCTGTGGCTCAAATCTGCAGGCCCAACCGTGCTGTAAACATTGATAGAGACAGGCAACGACGAGGTGAGTATCTCTTGGACGATTATTTTGTCTGTAACAGTGCATTCCCTGATACGTACTTTAGACGTCATTTTAGAATGGAACGTCATTTGTTCAACAAAATCATAGGCACTGTTTGCAACCATGATTCTTACTTTGTGCAAAAGTTGGATGCTTTTGGTGCTATGGGTCTCCTACTTGAGCAAAAAATTATTGCTGCCTTGCGGATGCTTGCATATGGAGCATCTGCAGACCAAGTGGAAGAGATAGCGAGGATGGAAAAATCAACCATTCTTGAGTCCCTGATGAGGTTTTGCTCGGCAATCGAATCTATCTACACCGCAGAGTACCTCCGGACACCTACTAATTTGGACTTGGAAAGGCTTCTGAAGAAGGGCGAGATGCGAGGTTTTCCAGGGATGATTGGAAGCATTGACTGTATGCACTGGACTTGGAAAAACTGTCCAAGTGCATGGCAAGGCGCTTATGAGGACAGAAAATGATCAAAAAGTATCATTTTGGAGGCGGTGACATCTTTTGATACATAGATTTGGCACGCCATTTTTGGGATTCCAGAGCTCAAAATGACCTCAACATCCTCACCCAATCCCAATGTTCAATGATGTCTTGCAAGGAAAGGTACCAAAAGTCATGTATTGGGTCAACAGACGTATGTACGACGGGACATACTACCTAGCAGACGACATTTACCCAAGGTGGGCATCGTTTGTCAAAACAGTGCCACGTCCACGAAGTGCAAAGGAAAAACACTTTGCGAGCTGTCAAGAAGGGTGCAGGAAGGATGTGGAGCGTTGTTTTGGTATCTTCCAAGCTCGATGAGCGATTGTCAAGGGTGCTGCCAGAATGTTTGATGTAGAGTCGCTTCGATCCATCATGATGACGTGCATCATTCTTCACAACATGATTGTGGAAGATAAGTACGATTATGATGCCGTTGATGAATATGAGCCAGACACGATGAACAATTCAAGAACACGTATATATTGTGCTCATGACGCCATCGAAGAACCCGTGCAACATGAGCCATTAGAAAGGGATGAATGTTACAATGAATTGGTTATTCAACGATATACTGCACTTCAAAGGCCATATGTGCACAATGCCCGACTAAATGACGTGATAGAGCACCAGTGGGCATTGAAACAAGCTGAAGATAATTAAGTTCATTTAGTGTGTTGGGTTTTATTTGGTGTGTTTATTTAATTTTAGTTGGTGTGTTTTTTTTAGTTCATTTTTTTATTATTTGGTATGTTTATGTAATTTTATTTGGTGTTTTTTTGTCATTTGAATAAATATTATCTTAGTATAAATAACTTACCAAATTAAATAAATTTACTCTCACTTTAAATAAAGTACTAAATTCAATAAATTAGAAACAACATAAAGTATCTATTCAATAAATAATAAATTACAACCCAAAGTGATTGGAAAATTATGGGCTCCGATTACAAAAACTACTCTATTCATCATCACTTAACCAATTTGTGGTGTTAGGATGATATTCTCTTGTCGTGCTAGGACCATATTCTCTTGCTCTCGCTTCTCTTGCATGCCTCCTTCGCACAACGTCCGCTTTCTCCGACTTCCAAAAATATTTAGAATTTGGAGACTTCCCTTCTAAAGGCGTGTTCATAATTTCACGATCTCGTTGAGCCATTCTTTCTTCTCTAACCTGTTCCCATTCTTGCCTAAGTAGCTCTCTTTCTCTCTGATTAGCTTGAAATTCTCTCTCAATAGCTGCAGTTTTTGCCTCCTCTCTAGCCTTATCAGCCTCAAATTTCGCCATTTCTCGCGCCAAAGTCAATTCACCTTGGCGAGCAAGTTCTTCCATGTATTTTGCATAATCATTCTGGAAGCACTCCCTTTTCTCTTTGAAGCATTCTTACCTTCAGGCCTAATTGGATAAGGGATCGAACCCGACGCTTGTTCAGGGAGGGGCGTTTCGGGCACTTCTTCTGCATCATCTTCATGAACATGCGAGTCATGATCGGGTGTAGAGTGTAGAGGGGTGCTGTTCATGAAAACTTCTGGACCGACATGCACAACTCTGAATTTAGGACAATCTTTGACAATATTCCAACATTCCCACCGGTTGAATGATTTAATTTTGCTTTTGGTTTTGGCACTATACCAAGCTTGTGCTTGAAGTTGCTACAAATAAATAGGTAACAAATAAATAAATAATTATAATGAAAGTAGGTAACAAATAAATAAATAATAATACAACCAAATAATTATAATGAAAGTAGGTAACAAATAAATAATTATAATGAAAGTAGGTAACAAATAAATAATACAAACAAATAATTATAATGTAAATTTGGGTATAGTACAAACAAATTAATAATATATCGTTACCTGATCCGTGTAATTTTCCCCACTTCGAAGATTAGCACTAGCTTGTGCCAATGCGTCTCTCCACATACTAAACGATTGGCTAAGTAATTTCCAACGACTGGACATCGATTCTTTGGTTCTTTTCCCACCCATTTTCTCAAGATAATTGGTATTAATAAGACTCCACATTTCTCGCAACTGCATCTCATTACCCATAAGCGAACTATGAGAAACTTCAACCCAGCTAGTACACAACGCAACATCTTCAAGAAGCAACCAATTCGTACCTGCATCAGTAGTCATTTTGTTGAAAAAAAATTGGATTGAAACTTTGAGAGAAAGATAGGAATTTGATTGAAAGTAGTTGAGAAAATATGAAATTGTGGTGTAAGGTAGATGATAATGAGAAGATATTTATAGAAAAGTAAAAACAATTTTTTTTAAAAATTTTCAGATTTTTTACAATTTTTTTAATTTTTTATTGAACTAATTAATCTCTGCCGTTGGATTTAAAAAAAATTGAATTCCAACACTCTAGATTGTGCCATGTGTCACAACGGTAACTTTTTTAAAATTTAAAACTATTTTTTCTTTTATTTAGTTATTTATAAAGCAGAATAATATCAACTGTCGATCTCAGATCCAACGGTTGATATTAAATATGTTTATTTTTATTTTTATTACCGTTGCAAATCGGACGGCCCATTTTAAAGAGCCGTTGAGATTAAACGGATCATGGGAAGCCACGTGGCTTCCCAACGGTAACTGAGACAGACTGCATCGCGGGCCCCTGGGGTCTGAAATCTGTCGGCTGACGCGCCCCCACGCGCGGGTGAGGCGCACGCGTCTGACAAAAAAAAATAAAAAAAAGGATTAACGCCAGGCTGGCGTCAGCCCTGCGTCAGGTCCACCTCGGGCTCGCGGGCTGGCGATTCCTCACAGGCCTCTTGCTCGCCCCTGCCCAGTCCCTCGGGCTCCCCACGCTGGAGGGCTTCAGCCGGGCTATCATGCCCTGTTTGGTCCACTGTCCCCCGAGCAGCAACCCAAAGTGGAGTTGCTCTAATGGAGAGAGAGAATCGAAAACACCAAAAGAAATCGAAACCGGAGAGGATAAACGTGGCCTCGAAGGGCAAGAAAGTCATTTTACTGTAGAAAATATGGCAAAAAAGTGGGTTAACAAACGAATTGAGGGGCATTTTGGTCCGCACACTGCCCTAGAATAGTGCCACCCGAGTTTGGGTTTTAGTATATATAAAATTTGATGGAGCCGGAGGCATGCAGTGCACCGTCAATTAATATTAGGATCACGATCGTCGCCCATGGATGCATGCATCTTCTTTTTGTGCATCATTAGATATAGATTAGGTACTGCATAGTGCATAACTTCGATTTCTACCTAGCTACAATACATACAGATTTGATTGTGGAGATTGAATTTTGCTCGCATCAAGTACTAATGTTAATTGCTCTATATTCAAAATGTCTCTTAGCAGATTTCTGTTTTATCAGATAAGAAAATTAATGCTTAAAATAATAATCCCGAAATATTATTTATACAATTTCTTGTAATATTAACAAGGATGATGTCCTTAAATTTTGTCACTACAGGAAATTAAAACTGGGACCATTTTACAGTTTTATATACACGCCTTTCATGTGAAGAAACCCAGAAACAAGACCCCAAAATAAAATCTCAAGTATTACAAATGCTAGGGTACCCCAGTTCTTCGATCGAAGCATGCCCTGCAATAATGCCTCTGTCCCATCAACCTGCATCACATTTCACTCCAAACTATTTATTATGCAACTAGCCAATGTGACAAATCATCCAACAAATCAACAATTAATGCAAGGAATATTAAAAGACTACAGCAAATAAAAACATTTAGGTTTTTTCTCTTCTTTTTCCAGCAGAGAAGAAAGATAAAGATTACCAAGTTATTCTCTGGTGACCGCCAATAGAAACCTTGCAAACCTGCTGAGAAGAGGTCACAAGCACCCAAAGCATATATAATGAGCGCATTCATCCCCATCCATTGCAGCAACACTGTCACTTTTATGAAATGTTTGACATCAACCTGCGTTTAAATAAGGTTTCACTAAAGCGCACATGAATCTTTGAATTTGTAGCTTCCTCCAAAATTATCATTCACTAGTATGCCAAGCTTTGTATCGGATCATTAAGCTTGTCAAACATATTCAATCATTTAACCAGTGATTAGCAAAATGCGAACTTACTATGTAGAAGATAATGCATAATATCAAGCCTGATGCTCCTGCTGTAATACATGTATAGCTCATTGTGTATAGTGGTTTACAGAAAGGAATACCTGATACAGGTACAGCCGATTACTCATACGAAAAAGAATAGAAATCCTCAACAGAAGAAAAATAATGAAAAAAATAATGCAATAAAAAGAGAATATACCAAGTATCTTCAAGGCATATCCAAATATTAGAAGAGGAAAGGAGGACATAGACCATAACAATATCCTCTGCTTCTGGTCCTACAAAAGAAAGGATCCTGTCAGGGAAGCAATTCATCAAAGAGGCAAACCAGACACAACGAGAGTGCAGACAGTTAGTGTTATCAGCAAAAAGAAGCTTCAAACCTTGAAATGCAATAGTATGTGCCCAAAATGCAATCCCACAAAACATGTAACAGCAGCCATCAGAGAACTGGAAATTTATTAATAAAATGAATCAAAGACCAATTCTGAATAATCAATAACGATGACGATTTGACATTTATAGAGTGTCTGTTTGTGTGTGTGAGAGAGAGATGAAAATAGAGTTAAGAGTCAGAGAAATGCAGAAATCAACCTTAAGATTCCCTCTGAGTCAAATGGTGCAAAGCACCATTGAGGAGAATCAGAGGGCAGAGGTCCATAGTCAGGAGAATTAACACTGCATTCCTGAGACACAAAGGGTTAGCATTTTTCAATTATCAGCAATGAAAAGCACTGATACAGGGCTTAAATCCTGATATATTCAATAATGCAGTTACCAGAGAAGGCCCATGAGAATGACCTTTGTTCTTCTGTAAACAGGATGTTGATAAAGGTGATGCTCGCCCAGAATAACTCGATCGATATAACCAACAGCATTGCAAGGAGGTTCAAGACTACCCCTCACTCCACAATAAACCTAGTATGTAAATATTGTACGCAAACGTTGAAATCTTACAGGACCAACCAAATTCAATCCTAAACCAAAATCTAACACCTTAACATTGTCCCTTAGCAATTAGAAATGAAGAGAACAATTTAACTCACAATTTGAGTACCAGGTCCAGAACGAGACAAATTCAAGCTTGCAGCTTCATATTCCCAAGTTGGAACGAAAAGACCATACAGAAAGCACATGTGAAAAAAGCATAATCCAATAGCAAACAGCCTGCATTACACATAAAAGTTAAAACTTGAGAATGGACAAAAAGGGAAGCATATGTATGGTCCACTTAAATTCATGAGCATCAACAGAATTTGTAGAAGCACTAACCACTGATTGTAGTATTTCCTAGCAAAATCGACCAGTGATTCAACCATGATATTGTTAACAAACCAGATCTCTGAGATTGAAGCCAGCAAATATCCAATTGAAATCCTCTGAAAATTAGATGCAGACACTTTCAACATGCTTTCAACATGAAAGGTGACAGTAGTGTATGCCATTTCGAATATCAAAATCACTCAGTTAATAGCAGAGGAAGAATATGATACAAACTTCTAGATTGAGTCAGCATAATGCTACCTGTAGTACACCTAGCCAACGTATCTTGCCCACATCAACCCCATATGTTAAATGGTCACGCCCATGGAAATACCCACCTAAGAACACATTGCAAAGAGAAATATAACAAGCAATCATCTTTAAGCACAGAATCTATAACCAAATATGTTCCATACCTTAGAACTAATGAATGCATGTTATACAATGTAAGCATGAAATGTAAAGCATAAAATTTATACTAAATTCAGACAATTGACAAAACTTACAAGTGTTGTACCAATATAAGTAAAAGAAACATCAAGGAATGTTGAGTTTAATCAAGTATAAGATTATGATAATCTAATGGAACAATGACAGGGTACCTTGCAGTAACAACCCCAAGAGAAAGAGATTCATTGCTCTAAGAATGACTTTCTTTGTGGCAGTTGTCTTGTTGGGTATTTTCTGCACAGTAGTAGAAGGAACGAGAGCAGGCGGTTGATTAATATATAATTGCTTCCTTACATTTCAGAATTTTGCACATAGAAATCACTGCAGAAAAGTGCTGCCCTTTTCTTTTATAAAGATAAGCTTCCCCAATTAACTCTAGATATATAATGTAGTGAAATCATTTGGGATTTGGAAGACATGACAGTGCCACATGGTAACATACAGGGGTTTTAGACAAGGATTGGGTGGAAAAAGGAAAAAAGAAAAAGATAAACCCTAGAGTCCTACAGCCTACCTTGAATGCAAGACTGATGGAGACGCCAACAAGAAAAAGAAAAAATGGCATTACAAAATCTGCAAGTGTAACGCCCAACCACGGAGAGTGGTTTATCGACGGGAAAGCTCCTCCGGCATCATCGACCAAAATCATCAACTGTTGATTGTTGATAGAAAACCTATCAAATCAGGAAGACGTAATAGACAGACACACAGAAAGCTAGCTCATCATCAAATTAGTTAACATATCTAAAAACAAACAAAGGAAATGAGAAAGATGTCAAGCTCTAGCCTTTAACTAACTACAAAGGAAATCATCAAGTAAGAATTCCATAATCCAGGTATATCATATCAACTTAATTGATTCAAGTGAATCGCATGACAACCCCAAACCTAATCTAAGTACTAATCCAAAAACCACCAAACTATCTCAAAATTAGAATCTAAGCAAATTAGGGATTCGCATTTAGCAAGCAATTTCAATCAGAATCGCCGGGCTTGGCGTACCGCGACGGTGAGGCCACGGAAGACGTCGAGAGAGGCCAGGCGTTGATTAGGCGTCGATGCATCTGTGCCGTTGGATGGTGAGGCGGGCACAAGACTTGGGATCTCATTAGAAATGGATGATTCTCCGTCTCTGTCTGTGTCTCTGTCTCTGTAGAGATGAAGAAGAGGAGCAACGTCGTCGACGGCTGCAGACATTATCCTGATCACGGTGACAGTCAGTCAGGCATCACTCACTCACTTCTGAGCCCCTCTTTCGGTTCATTTCTCTCTCTGTTTGGTGCTCCGTGACTCGGTGACTCAGTAGCAGTGCCTCCGGTCAGGTCTGGTGAAACCGGTGTATGCAAGAAAACTTAGAAATGTACGCACCGAGAGATTTTTTAGTGTAATCGGTACACGAATGATACATCACGTGTTACTATACAAATGGTGGGATATGTGTGCTAAAAATTTAATAACTTAAAAAATAAAATTTCCCTACACTCTTATTAAAACACATGGTGTACCACTTATGTATCTGTCGTAACTAAAAATTTCTTCACACGAAGGTCCAAGGCCAATGGGCTGTGCTACAATATTAGTTGACCAGCGGGCATGTGGCACTTATCCTCATTTCTTGTTAAACAATTTTAGCTCGTGGAATATTTCATTAAGGGCACTTCCACCGTGTGCTCAAGCCCAAGGGACAGGCGCAGGAATAGAGCCAAAGAGCTCGAGTGATGAAGCCCAGCGTGTGCTGGCGAGCGAGCCTGAGCAGGCCCGAGGGAGAGGCCAGGCACGAGTCCTCGCCCCGAGCGCTTGAAGGCAATGTGACGTGGGCTGACGTCAGGACGACATCAGCCACGTTTTTTATATTTTTTGCGTTAGGTGCGTTGGCTTCAAGCGCACGTGGGTGCGCGTCATTCGACAGAATTTCAGGCCTAGGGCCTGCAACGCACTCGGAAATGTTACCGTTGGGGAGGCCACGTGGCTTCCCCACGTCCGTTGGATTTCAACGGCTACAATTTCTGGACCGTTGGATTTCCAACGGTAAAAAAAATAAAAAAAACCTTATTTAATATCAGCCGTTGGATCTGAGATCAACGGTCCACTTTATTCGCCTTTATAAATTAAAAAAAGAAAAGAAAAAACAGTTTAAAAATCAGAAATCTTACCGTTGTGCCATGTGGCACAATTTGGAGTGTTGGAATTCAATTTTTTTTAAATCCAACAGTAGAGATTAATTAGGTGAATAAAAATAAAAAAAATGTAAAAAATTAAATAAAATCCGGAATTTGAAAAATTAAAAAAAATTATTTTGCTTTTCTATAAATACCTTCTCATTATCTTCTATCTTACACCACAAATTCATATTTTCTCAACTACTTTCAACCACATTCCTATATTTCTCTCAAAGTTTCAATCCAATTTTTTTTCAACAAAATGACTACTGATGCAGGTACGAATTGGACGCTTATTGAAGATGTTGCATTGTGTACTAGCTGGGTTGAAGTTACTCATGATCCGATTACGGGTAATGAGATGCAGGTGCGAGAAATGTGGAGTCTTATTCATACCAATTTTCTCAAGAAAATTGGTGGGAAAAGAACCAAAGAATCGATGTCCAGTCGTTGGAAATTACTTAGCCAATCATTTAGTACGTGGAGAGACGCCTTGGCACAAGCTAGTAGTAATCTTCGAAGTGGGAAAAATTTAGCGGATCAGGTAACAATATATTATTTATTTGTTTGTACTATACCCAAATTTACATTATAATTATTTGTTTGTATTATTTATTTGTTTACTACTTTGATTATAATTATTTGTTTGTATTATTTATTTGTTAGCTACTTTGATTATAATTATTTATTTGTTACCTGCTTTCATTATAATTATTTGTTTGTATTATTTATTTGTTACCTACTTTCATTATAATTATTTCTTCTCCCGCATTGTGTAGGAATTTCAAGCACAAGCTTGATATAATGCCAAAACCAAAAGCAAAAACAAATCATTCAATCGGTGGGAATGTTGGAATATTGTCAAAGATTGTCCTAAATTCAGAGTTGTGCCTATCGGTCTAGAAGTTTTCATGAACAACACCCCTCTACACTCTACATCTGATCATGCCTCGCATGTTCATGAAGATGACGCAGAAGAAGTGCCTAAAACGCCCCCTTGAACAAGTGTCGGGGTTGACCCGTTATCCAATTAGGCCTCAAGGTAAGAAGGCTTCAAAGAGAATAGGGAGTGCTTCCAAGAATGATTATGCAAAGTGTATGGAAGAACTTGCTCGCCTAGGTGAATTGACTTTGGCGTGGGAAATGACAAAATTTGAGGCTGATAAGGCTAGAGAGGAGGCAAAAGCTGTAGCTGTTGAGAAAGCATTTCAAGCTAATAGGAGAGAAAGAGAGTTACTTAGGCAAGAAAGGGAACATGTTAGAGAAGAAAGAATGACTCAACGAGATCATGACATTATACAAAACTATCTTAATTATGGGTTGAACTATAATTTCATAACTCATGTTTTCAAAAATACAATGGCATACTTTATCTTACGAATTTGTTGCAATGTCACACCTCCAACATTTTTTCTGTCTATTTCTCTTTTAAATGCCGACGTGACTTGAGGTGAAACCTACTCTCTAGCCCAGTGGGATTAAAAAACTAATTAAATATAAAAAATTAAAAAAAATTATTTAAATATTTTTTATTAAAAAATTGTGGGACCCACTCCCTACAAACCCATCACCCTCACCCTTGTTTCCCAGTTCACCTGACTTTCCCAACATTCCTTCCTTCACCGCCAAAATCAGAACTTGCCGCTGCCTCACCCACTAATCACCACCATCTCTCCCTGGACCAATCCAACAGACCTATGTGTTTGATGTGGTCCATATCTTTGGATCGACCCGTTTCCTACGCGAGCTTCCCAAGTGAGTTTACGACAAACTCCGATGACAAGCACCGTCGCCACCACCACTATTCCACTATTCTTGGTGCCACGAATAGGATCCACCCTAAGTTCGCGTTGTTTGGTCGCCATTCATGGCAGATCAAACTATGGAATTCTCGAGATTTTGATGTTGGCGATTTGGCATTTGGAGAGGACGATGAGGGTGCAGTGGTAGAGATTGAGCGACATGTGGTGGAGGATGAGGGAAATCACCCTATCTTGTTGGTTTTTCGTCTTCTCTCACTCGGCCATGAAACCCAATCACCTCTCTTTCTTTCCATTCAAGATTTAGATCTACATCATCAATTTGCCTTTTAGAATTTCTGAAAAAGATCATTGATGCACATTCGAACTCTAATTAATCATGGATGAGATTTGTGGCTTTCAATTTGACAATTTGAGTGCAATGGGCGATGACGTATGAATCCCAGAACATATATTATTACATCTAATTGGGCTTTGATAAACACTCAACCAAAAAGGTTGTGTCGGTTACTTCGAAAAGTGCATGAGAATTTGCAAGTAGTGAGTGAGAACAAAGGTTGACGACGATAGCGGTTTATTCAAGTGAGAGAAGGAGATGAAAAAGACAGATCGACTCGGGAATAAGGGTGATGGGTTTGTAGGGGGTAGATGTCACATCCCGGCCCGGGCTCGACTCCGCCGTAGCACGATATTATCCGCTTTGGGCTCTAACCACGCCTCATGGTTTTGTTTCCGGGAACTCACACGAGAACTTCCCAGTAGGTTACCCATCATGGGATTGCTCTCGCGCAAACTCGCTTAACTTCGGAGTTCCGATGGAACCCAAAGCCAATAAGCTCCCAAAAGGCCTCGTGCTAGGTAGAGATGGGAATATACATATAAGGCTTAGAGGATCCATTCCCTTGGGCGATGTGGGATGTTACAATCCACCCCCCTTAGGAGCCCGACGTCCTCGTTGACACATATCCGACCAGGGATTGGCTCTGATACCAAATTGTCACATCCCGGCCCGAGCCCCCACCACATCCTGGGCTCGACTTCGCTGTAGCACGATATTGTCCGTTTTGGGCCCCGACCACACCCTCACGGTTTTGTTTCTGGAAACTCACACGAGAACTTCCCAGTGGGTCACCCATCATGGGATTGCTCTTGCGCGAACTCGCTTAACTTCGGAGTTCCGATGGAACCCAAAGCCAGTGAGCTCCTAAAAAGCTTCGTGCTAGGTAGAGATGAGAATATACATATAAGGCTTAGAGGATCCACGCCCCTGAGCGATGTGGGATGTTACAGTAGGTCCCACATTTTTTATAAAAATATATAAATGATTTTATTTATTTATAATATTTAATTAGTTTTTTTAATCCAATTAGACTAGAGAGTGGATCCCACCTCCAGTCACGTCAGCATTTAACAGAGAAATAGACAAAAAAACTGACGAAAGTGTGACATTGCAACAAATTCGTAAAATAAGGTATGTCATTTTAAAACATAAGGTATGAGATTGTGGTTTAACCCACAGTTGACGTAGTTTTGTGTAATTTACCCATTTCATTATATAGGGGATTTTTTTTTCCCGGTAGGTAACATCATTAAATAGTTTAATAGTTAGTTTTTAGTAGAGCCGGCTCAGGAGAAAGGTTACGGAGTGCGATAAATTAGGTTATTTCACATGCAATAAAACTAAAGAAGGAAGCGATGAACAATTAAGAAAGGTGATTGGAAAATTGGTAATTTACGTGTTAATAGGTTATTTACTGCTATCATATCCCGAAAACGGGTGTTTTGGACGTTTCGTACTCTCCGGATTGATACAACTTTGATTTAGCATGTTTGTTTTGGGCCTGTCATATAGGATTTGAAGAGAACTACGAGACCTACAAGACTTAAGTGAATTATGTCGTTTACTATATTTAATTCGGATTTTGATATTTTAGGATGTTTATATATATATATTTTATGGGAAAACTTGATATAAGTCCTTTTTTTTTTCCAGTTTCTTAAAATAAGTCAAATTCTTTAAATTTAGGATTATTTTATTGTCAATGTATTATTTATGAATAATATTTATTGTTAAAAATAATTTCTTTTTAATTATCTCTTAAATTATTTTTTTCTTTTTTTTTTGTTATTTATTATTCTCCTGTCCTAAACCCCCATTTATTCTTCATTAATTATATTTTGACTTTACACATTTAAAATTTTTTGATGCCTAAAATACCCATATTTGAAGGTTTAATGTTCACAATTAATTCTATACGGATTGGAAGGAAGATTTAATGATTTTACAAAAATAAAAAATAAAAAATTAATTGCCTAATATATAATAACAATAAAACATGCCTAATATATGTAATAATATGTTCTTTGTTTAGTCAATCAAATTATATTTTACATATAAATGTAGGTAAATTTCACACACACACACACACACATATATAACAAAAAAAACATGCCTGATATTGT